TTTAATATTTCTCTTTTTTCAGAGAATATGTCCGGAGTGATTCCCATATAATTATTATTATTATTATTATTATTATTATTTTAATATTTATTATTATTATTATTATAATTATTATATTTACTATTATTATTGTTATTATTATTATTGTTATTATTATTATATTTATTATCTTACTTATTATAAAACGCAGACTGTGTGTGTGTGTGTGTGTGTCTGTAACGTTTATATATTGGATCGGATTTCCTACATTTTTCAACCGATTTCAACAAAACTTTACAGGACTACGTAAAATTACCTTGTGGTGGTTCTAACAGTGCCAAAAATGGGGAAAACACAATTGTTTTTGCACAAAATCAATTTGAAAACACGATTAAGAGACATCGTGAGAATGAAAGGGGGACAACTCACATCAGGTTAAAAAAACAGGTTGTTTGTGTGTGTGTGTTCCTTTATGGGATCGGATTTCCTACATTTTTCAGCCGATAAAACAAAAATTCACTTTTTTTTTTTGGCAGGTAGTGTTTCTTATTCTCTTGCACACTTTTTTCTTTATTTTTAATATTCAGAATGCTTGAAAAATTCCATTTACAAGACAAATGTTTATAATAAAATTCTATTCAATCGGTAGACTCATAACGATTGAAAACAATGTTTTTGTTTGAGTTTGGGTTTGACCATTTCGTAAAAAAAAAACAAAAAAAAAACTAATTAAGACATGCGTGTCCGTCAACCTTAAACAATAATCTTTGTCAATTTTATTTTTCAGTCTTTATGATGGTCGATACTTGATCTATCTCTTACTTTTACATCCCCGGGCAATGCCGGGCTCTACTGCTAGTTATTATTATATTTACTATTATTATTATATTTATTATTATTATTATTGTTATTATTATTATATTTATAATTATTATTATTGTTATTATCATATTTATTATTATTATTATCATCATATTTACTATTAGTATTATATCTATTATTATTGTTATTATTGCTATTATATTTATTATTAATATTATCATTGTTATTATTATTATTATTATTATTATTATTGACGCAGTGTCGTTGGCTCAAATCTTCCTTTTAGTATTGGCGCATGCGCGTCAGTCGAACTCGTTTCCTTTCAGCCATTTTTTTTAGTTTAATGTCTTTGCTCTTTCCATTTAACGAACACATCGGCGGTGCGCTTCCCGATCGTGTGAGTTCGATCATGTGCCGCCGACTTCACAGATGTCAGAAGATTGGGTAGAAAGTCTTGAAGGAAGAAGACGACGACGAAAAAGAAGAAACCATCTCTTAAAATTCAAGATAATCAGTTGCACTTCAAGCTATAGTCGCCATCTTGTCGGAAGACGATTCAATTACTTATACATTTCTTTTTTTTATTTTTAGTCTATATTATTTTACTTATTTTTACATTTGACTTGTTTGCTGCTTTGCTTTCATGGAGACCTGTTGTGAATGTTTAAAAGGGTATCTTTCCTTTTTCTTCTTGGTCTCACAATGAGGTCTTGATTAATGCTATCTAACTCATCAGTCACGAAGTCCTATCTATGCATGTACCTGTCTGTACAGATCCATTGATTTCTGTATTGATCTGTTTCTTCTTGCCTACCTTGAGGTTTTATAGATATATCATTTTATTTGTGATTTCGTATCTAGCTAGCTATCCGTCTGTTCAAATTTATTTATTCATGTGATTTGTGCATACAGATCTATCTAGATATATAGTCAGTTCATATATATGTATTTCATTCCATTCGTATCTATCTATCTATCTATCTATCTATCTATCTATCTATCTATCTATCTATTAGTGTCTTCATATCTCTCAACCTCTTTATATCTATCTATCTATCTCGGTCTGTTCGTATCTATCTATCTATCTATCTATCTATCTATCTATCTATCACAATCTCTTCATTATCTATCTATCATTAACTCCCTTCTGTGTTAGTTTCATTTATATATATATGTATGTATTCATGTATTATCACATTTATGCATATATATATATATATATATATATATATATATATATATATATATATATAGAGAGAGAGAGAGAGAGAGTCTGTTCATAGCTAGATATTAATTCCGTTCGTACCTATCTTTTTTATCTGTTAGTCCTTTTGTACATTGTTTTTATATATATATATATATATATATATATATATATATATATATATATTCGAGGCGTTGTTGAAAAGTTCTTATCCAGATACACTACGCATAATCTTACCAAAACCACTAATCATTGTGAATTCCTACTCCGTATATGTATATATATATATATATATATATATATATATATATATCTTCAGTAAAATGAATTGGAGAACTCCGACTGATTGGCATTTGTTTACATTCGTAAAATCAATACGCTAGATTTAGCTGTTTCTCTCTGTCGAATGAAGATAGCTCAGTGGTAGAAACTCTCACTAATCGGTTGGGTTTCGATCCGGGCTTGAAGTATTCGGATGTCTAGTCGCACTGAGAAGCTGTGATACAGCGAAACAGTACTGTCTGCGAATGACACACACACACACACACACACACACATATATATATATATATATATATATATATATATATATATATATATATATTTGTTCTCATCTAAGCATTGATTTGTCTGTTCTAGTTTCTTTATTCCGATCTGTCACGTGTCCCGCCATCATCAATCGATTTGTCAGCATTCGCCCATATCCGCGTTTAATCTCTTAGACCAATATGTTTTTTTTTCTCTTTGTCCTTTTGTGTCCGGATCTGGCTCCAATTTTAAACGGCTTTTTAGTGCCAAAACGAACATCTCCCTTTTTCCCTTTAACGATTCTTGGAACAGAAATTCACTTGGCCGAAAAACGACCAGTTTTGGACGCAAGTTTACCAGACCGAACGATTGTCTGGATCTCCGGGAGTCCTGGACATCAGAGGAATGCAATGCAGGCTCCCTGGCATAAAGGTAAAGGCTATCTTGTAGGGTTTTATGTCGGTAACAACACCAGATATCACCAGGGCCGTTGCAACATTCTCGTGCCCACACCCGAATCTATGATATGCGGCCCCGACTCTACTACAACTGAATTAATAAAATTTTTTTATTAGAACCTAATCATCCCCAATAATAGATCAAGGTACAAGATAGGTGAATGTTTCAACTGGAAAATGGAAAAATAATTACAACGTATTTAAAAATCTAACTTAGACACTTTCCACAATAAATGATTCCACGTTTAAAAAAAGTTAATGTTTTTCGGCAATTTTTATTATCGATTTTAATTTTTTCTAGTTAAAATGTTGAATAATTTTAAAAGACATTTAACATTATGGATAAAAATTGGCCATTTTTGTACTGATTTTAAAACATATTAATCTCATAATTTTCCAATAAATTATATTTGCACTACTCTGTATTGAGCACTCTTTTAAGAATAGTATTTTTTTGGTTATTGGAACTTATTCCGTATACACCAATCCTATACTTGGTTTGGGTCAGTAATAAACTAAAAGGAGAATGGAGGTTCACCAAATGATAACAACATTTGAACCCCCAAAATAACACTTTCAAAGTAAAACAAAATAACAGCCTCTGTTTCTAGCCTTTTTTACAAAAAAAATTAGTGACATCTTCTCTCTTAACTTTCTTCCCTCTTTTTCTCTTTATGGGTTTTTTCTTCTCTACCCCTTCGATATCAATATATAACTTCCGTTAAGTTAACCGTTTAAATGTGTCAATATCTGCTAACTCACTCATGTCTTCTCTCTCACCCCCCTCACTTCCTCACTTCGTTAATTTACATATGTTTAATACGGCCCGTCAAAAATGTGTAAATTTTATTTTCATTTTTTGTTTGGAAGTAAAGTCTGATGATCCACAGTCCTTTTAAAAGGTCTGTGGTGAAATAATTTATTACATGGAACCTTAAAGTGGTCTGTTTTTATTCAAATTATTTGCTCTGAATTTACATTGAGCTCTCTGGATTTTATCCTCCTTAGGTTTACCCATACGGATTACCTAGTTTTTCATAAACTATATATATATATATATATATATATATATATATATAGGACTGGTGTATACGGAATAGATTCCAATAACCAAGAAATAATATTTTTAAAGAGTGCTCAATACAATGTAGAGGAAATAAAATTTATTTATATTATAGAATCACTACAAAAATAATCATTTTGTTTTAACACTTCTGGTGTCTTAAGAAGTAATGATATTGAATCAACACCGTCACTTGATAAGGCACAAGTATTGTTGAAACAAAACGACTATTTTTGTAGTGATTTTATAACATATTTATGTTATGATTTTCGAATAATTATATATATATATATATATATATATATATATATATATATATATATATATATATGTGTGTGTGTGTGTGTGTGTGTGTGTTATTTGTTTCAAAGTTTCCAAGAATTAAATTAAATTTTGTCATTACCTATAAGGTAATTATATGCCATTAAACAAAGTAATGGATCAATCACTCCCCAAAATGGAAATTAATTACGACTCAAGCTAACAAAAACGTACATTTAATGTTTCTACTTAACTGTATGACACAAACGTACGCAATCTGAGTCATACATATGCAAATATCTTTTTGTTTCCTTTATTTAAATCTATGCCAACAGGCAAATTTAGTGAGGATGTTATCGATTTTAATGTGACCTCATTAGTGGATGACTTCCTCAACTTTGACTATATTATTTACTGTTGTTCACGTGGTAATAAGTTTTTTTTTCCGTACTTGAAACATCTCTTTCTTTTTAGTCTCTTTGTTTTGTATTTGATATTTTATTCATTTAATTGTAGCTTTTATTGTTATTTTACTTCGTACACTTCTTTTACCGACCTTTCTTTCTCTCTTCGCCGGCTTTGCATCGTTTTCTGAATATACCATTACAGTGTTTGATAAAGCTACAATTGAGGGCTGGCTGATGCAGGGGTGGGAATGAAAAGCAGGGTCGGGCTGTGGTGAGGTTTAGCAGTTGCAGGGTTGCAGCTGTAGTTTGTAATATTCAACTTGAAGAACCGCGATAGACGTAACGATGGGAGTGTCATTAAAGGCGACAAGTAGAAGGCAGTGACAGAAGAAAAAAAATAGGTAAAAATAAAAGGACGTAAAGCGGAAGTGGAATGAAAAGTGGGAAGAGAAAAAAAATACTCCGGTAAGAAACGGTTGGGAAGAAGTGAAAGCAATTTGAAATATTATGGTTGAAAGATATAAGGGAATAGAAAGAGAGAAAGAGGGAAGGACAGAAAAAAAGAAGATGATATCTATCAGAAGATTTTGCCAAGCGTAAATAGTTTTCAAAATATCGAATGAAGAGGGGGATAATATATATTTCGAAAGATGAAAGAATGGGAAAATATGAATGAAAGGAAATATGGGAAAAATCGTTAAAGAAAAATATTACGACTGAATGAAGAAGATATGGCAGACAACACTAATAATAATAATAATAATAGTGATAATAATAGAAATAAGTGTAATAATAATATCAATAATAAACAGATATGAACAGACTGAGATAGATAGATAGATAGATAGATAGATAGATAGATAGATAGATAGATATAAAAATGAGGGAGATATATAGATAAAAAAATGATATACATATAAAAACTGAGATAGATAGATAGATATAAAAAATGTATATACATATAAAAACTAGATATTAACAGATTGTCATAGATAGATAGGTAGATAGTGAAGTGATTGTGATAGATAGATAGATAGATAGATATGAAAAGACTGAGAGAGACAAACAGATAGAACGACAGACAGACAGACAGGCAGGTATTAACAGACTGAAATAGATAGATAGATAGATAGATAGATAGATAGATAGATAATATACGCTATTTAGGAAGATAAATATAGATAATAGATATAAATAGACTGAGATAGATAGATAGATAGATAGATAGATAGATAGATAGATAGATATGAAAAGACTGAGACAGACAAACAGATAAAACGACAGACAGACAGACAAACACACAGATATTAACAGACTGAGGTAGATAGATAGATAGATAGATAGATAGATAGATAGATAGATAATATACGCTATTTAGGAAGATAAATATAGATACTAGATAGTTATAAATAGACTGGGATAGATAGATAGATAAGATCTATCTATCTTGCCAGCTGGATACCTAGCTATCCAAGTCTTAAAAAAACAGGAGACAAGTTTATTCTGTTTAATCTTCTATTCTAGATTTAACGGATGTCAGAATTCGTTGAAAAATACACCCCTACTCTCCCTAAACTGAAGCTCTTTTTTGAACGTAACTCATAATTGATACAACAATAGTTAATAAAAATGAACACGCTACAGTCCCTGTCTGAACGATTGGATTTCTCTGTATCCTTGGAAACAGTAAATTATAAATTTACGTGTGTTTGAAACTCAGTAAATTTAAAAATAAGTTATTCCAATATTTGCTTGGAGATGAAACGGAACTAATGCTTTTAATTTAATTATATAATTAAATTTAAATTCTTTAGCCTTCATTTTCGAAACATGGTTATTACTGTGTAGCGAAAAACATATTTTAAATCAGTTAATATATATATATATATATATATATATATATATATATATATATATATATATCACTATCTATCTCAGTCTGTTCGTATCTATCAGTTTTTATATCTATATAATTTCTTTTATATCTACCTCATTTTTATATCTATCTATCTATCTATCTATCTATGCCAGTTTGTTCATATCTGTTTATTATTAATATTATTATTACAGTTGTTATTATATATATATATATATATATATATATATATATATATATATATATATATATATAATAAATATATATATGTAAAAAAAATATTATATTAGAATTGTGAATATTATTTTTTATATTAAGCATAAAACGAGAGCTTTTTAAAAAACATAAAAACACATTTTGCATTAGAAATTAATTTGGATCAATGCATCTAAGCGAATTTTTGCGTCTAGATATAACCATCAATGTATTTCTTTTGTTTCATAAGCTAGACATTTAAGTTTTCTACTAATTTTTCTACAAGACATAAATTACACCTATCGCGTTTCTCCATTGTAGGCTTTGGCTTTAGTCATATTATCCCATGTAATAATGGGTGTATAACTAACTCTCCTTGTCAGAAATGTTCAAGAGGGCAGTGTTGTTTATACGTTTTATATTGCCTAAAGTCTTTCGATGATTGTAGAAAAGAAATTTCCAAGGATTTTCAGTGGACACAAAAGAAAATTTGACATCGCTACTGGAATGTATGCTAGCTCGGTATACAATATTATCAGTCACACATTTACCGTTTAAGGGACAGAGTATTTTTTTTTTGCATTTAAAAATAACTTTGTTGGACATGTATATGTTTAATATAATGTTGTTATTTTGGGATATTGATTTATTGATGTTATTAATGCAGCTATAGCTGATCTTAACATTATTCTTGTTAAAATTTTGTTTAGTGTTGGTGAATGATTGAACTGATTGAACATTAAGATTAAGCGATGGATTAAAGTATAGAATATTAAGCTTACGGTGTTTCTGTTTATTTTCACCTCTTTTTGTTTTTTTTTGTTTTTTTCTCAATATTATAAATTTTGTTTATGACTGCTTAGTTCTAAAGCTTTGATAATTTTATTATCAAATATTTCCTTATTGCTGCAGTTAATAGATAAACTAACTTGGACTGATTTATGTAAATTATCTAGAATGTTATGAGAGTGGGTTGAATCTTTAATGCCGTATCTACAGATCCAAGGACACATCGAGAAAATTGATCAGTTTAGCATTGGTAGTACTAATAATACTCATTTAGCTCGTGACGTCTGAAAAATTTTATCAGTTCCTTTCTCAATTGGTCTATATTTCTTCGACTTGTTTTAAATCTTAACTGCCACAATAATAATCAGATTCCTATATATATATATATATATATATATATATATATATATATATGTGTGTGTGTGTGTGTGTGTGTATGTATATATATAAAAGGCAGGATGTGTGTGTAACGAATGCACGGCCGCAATTTTCGACGGATTTGCACCAAAATTTACATGCGCATGCTCCAAGTTAGCGGGAAGGCCAAGGCCGACTTTGCATTTCGCAACTCCCATCGATAGTGGAAATAATCGATTTTTCATGCTTCTACGGCAGTTTTCATGTAGTTTGCGGCCATTTTCTACTGGCCAGAGTGAGAGCCTATAGCTGGTTGCCACGAATAGGCAGCAACATTGTATTGGCCAGCGTGAGAGCCAACAGTTGACTGACAAGAATGTTAACTAGCATGCTAGCATGCAAAAAATATCGATAGCTGCATTCGTCACAAGTGGGAAAAATTTAATCTGCATGGCACTTTACTCCAATTGGCTCATTCGCTTGCTTAAACTCAACGTTGATCCTGATTCCGCAGAACTGGGTTGGGTGTGAAAAAGTATTTGTTGTTAACATTCTTTTTTCATTCGGTTTTTCCAGTTACGAGTCCTTTTTTTAAAGCTGATCATTTTGTGTTCATTTTGTTTAGTTCTTTTTTCGTAACGGATTTAATGTTTAGTATAGAGCTTAGAAAAAATTCGCAGTGTGAGATAGGCAAGAAGTAAGGCATGTAATAACATCAGCACGGCCAAGGGCACTCCTTTAAAGTGATAGCGATTGCTATATGAGTCGTACGATATTTGAATCAAGCACGGGCAACGCCAGGCCATGCTGCTAGTATATATATATATATTGATGCATGTTTCATTAAATAATATAGACATGTTTTGTCTATTTATTTTATGTAAATTCTTTTCATATCGTCAGATAAGCTTAATAACATTATCATTAAAAGAAGAAAGAAATTCACAATATTGATGCATATTTTTTAATCCTATCTAAGCTTTCGACTTACATAAGCCATTATCAAAGATGACAATTACTGTTCAATATATTAAGTAATACACTGACAAGAATGTGATGATGGTCTGTTTATGTTTACATGGAAGATTTCCAAGCGACGACAAACTCGTGCATAGGGGACGCTGGAGGCGAAAATCGCACCGCAGCTCATGTCGTCACACATGACCACGCGAGAGTGAAAATGCGGAGTATTAAGTATAGGAAGCCGTTGGTATAAACTAATAGCTTCTGTTATAAATTATAGGCATTTAAGAATATTTGTAGAGATTTCATAATTTATTTTGTTCGGCTAAAGTTTCAACCGTTTTATGTATATAGTTTCAAGAATTTTTAGTTTTTGTTTATTGTTTACATGTTTAAGTATAATTGTGTTTTCAACGAGGATTTTCCGGAATTGTGTACGCGACCAGGCATGTTGTTTTAAGTGCTTAAAAGTGTTAGAGTTATCATTCAAATGTAGTGTCAAGCGTCGTGAAAGCGAGTTTGTGGTATGACCAACATAAATATTATTTAATTCGTTGGAGATACAATTTCCTAAAGGGCACTTGAATTTGTAAACTATTTGGCTCTCATCTTACCTGGACCTATATATATATATATATATATATATATATATATATATATATATATATATATATCCAGGTAAGATGAGAACGAACAGATTGCAATTGTGACGTTTGTAACATCTCCTTTAAAAGAGGGCTCAATACAAAATAGAGCAATATTATTTATTTTAGGATATTACACCGAAAATATGTCAAAATCGCTACATAATTGCAGTCGTGTTTCAATGCATATCAATGCATATCATCAGACGAAATGTATTGATACGCATTTAGACATGTTTTTGGTGTAATATTCTATCCTATTTTTTCGGCAGTTTCATTTTTTTTTAAAATTAACTTCGTTGGATATGTATCTGTTTAATATAATATAAACGTAAGAATACAGACTTGAAATGAAGATTAGTAGTCCAGGAATGCGGGTTAGTAGAAAGTATATGTACAAGTCTTTGTAAGTAAAGCCGTAATCATCTCTCTCTCTGGACTCTTGTATAACTCTCTGAGAACACCCTATGTCTGTCTCCGTATCTCTCAACCTGTCTCAACGTATCTCGTTATTTAACATTCCACCCACGAGGAATATATGTGGCACGACGCCAAGTTTAAAGTGGGTTTCTCTGAACTCGTAGGCTCGGCCAAAAAATATCCCCTTTGAACCCGCATAAACAGGTTCTGGAACTGTCTACCTCCCCGGACGGAACCTTGCCCTTCGGCAAAGCTTCGTCCGGGTTCCTCTCTGCCAAATCAGAGAGTTAGAATCAGAGACTGTATCTCGACGTATCTCGGTATTTAACAAACCCCCCACGAGGAATATATGTGGCACAAGGCCGAGTTTAAAGTGGGTTTCTCCGAGCCCGTGGCCGAGGCTAAAAATATCCCCTTTGAACCCGCCTATACGGGTTCAGGGCCTGTCTAACTCACCGGACGAAACCTTGCCCTTCGGCAAAGCCTCGTCCGGGTTCCTCTCTGGCAAAGCAGAGAGTTCGACAGACGTCGAGACTGTATCTCGGCGTATCTCAACAGCAGGTATTCTCTCTGTCAGTATAAGTATACTTTGGACGAGTCCATCTCATGTAAAAAGGGGAGAGCCCCACAACAGTTATGTTGAGATATAGATTCGTCCATGTTACTCACACAGCTATAGCTCACCTTAACATTAGTTTTACGACTGAAAGGTGGATTAAACAATATAATACTACGCATTGCCATGGAGAGACCATGTTATTCGTATGGCAGATGACAGAATGCCAAAACAATTAATGTATAGAGAATTGGAAAGGGGAAAAAGACCGCAGCACAAGCCGAAACTTCGTTACAAAGATTACCTTAAAGAGTCATTATGCAAGTGCAATATTGGTCAGGATAACTTGGAGACTATAGCTGAAGACCGGGTTTCTTGGAGAGCTGGTATTGCTGATGGCGTCAAGATCTTCCATGAGTCCTCACAAAAATATGCAAAATTGAAGAGAGAGGTTTGGAAGGGATTCGTGACAACCTGGATTTGTGTCCAATGCAATCGGATATGTGCGTCCGGGGCAGGTCTGCTAAGTCACCAGAATTCATACCAACAGTCTATTATATATGACGATTT